ATTCCTGCGTGGAATTTGGAGAGGAACAGTTTATATTTGGTTTCAGTGTATCACTTTATTAAATGAAACATATTAATTAAATTCTTATAAACTGTAATTTTTTATCCCTAATGAGTGACAGGCATAAGAGCCTTCAAAGAGACTTCAAAGACTTCCTTGAGCATAAATCCAAACTTAACTACTGTCAAGTCAATTACAAACTCTGGAATACAAACCTGTAAATTCTAGGTTGTAGGTTTCATTCTACATAATGCTAGAATAAAATAATTATCATCAGTTCACACAGTGTTTAACAGTATTTTTAACAGTAGATTGTAATTTAAAAAGGTGCTTACTTACTACTAAATACGTTAACAATACTGTATTCCTGAAAAGGCAGACCTTTCCTACTTCTTTAAAAGCCATGATGATACTGTTTTTTCCAGGAACCAAGACAAGAGGCAGTACTTACAACTCGGTTTGTAAAATAGAAGCATTGCTTTTGCAAAAAAGATATGAGAGTCTTATAAAGAACCTCCTTTCTCCTGCCTTCCTACTTCCTCCTCTTCACAGAAAAAATAACTTCTAATGTTAACATCATAAGAACTGTTGGAATTGTAAGAACACCCTAAATTCTTTATGCAAATTTAACATAGCTAAGAGGGAAGTCATTCTCCTCCACTTGTTTCTTGAATATTTAGACTACACACACAATTATTATATGCAAATATTTTGTATTTAGAAATAAGTTCATTTAAAGAGTATGCTATTTTATGCATAAATGTAGCAAAGATCTTTTATATTATAAATTCTGGACAGTGAAATAAGAATTCAATGTAACACTTTCATTCCCAATAAAAGTTTAGGAATTCATTAGTTATTTGACAATGCTTAAGTACTCACCATCAGACTCAGCAACTCTCAAACACTACACAAGAAACAGGACAAACACTCTTTTGAGGAAACCTGAATTATGGCTTAGAAGAGTCCTGTAACTCGAAAAAGTGTAAATTTACACTGTAACAAAACTGTTCGAAGTGGAGCAGTTTGCAATGGCATGGATATTTCATTGTTTTTTGTTTTTAATTTGGAACGATGCTGTGCATCACCTTAAAGAAACGATTATCTGAATACAGCAGGGGCACCCTCCCCTCCCCCCGCCCAGTGTCCCTACTGTCTCAACTTTTTGTCTCCTCTGTTTCAGCCATAGAAAAAGAGATGCCGTCAAATAGTATCAAGAAACAGCTTTTCTCCATTAACACTACTAATGCAGTAAGACTGGTAACATTTTGACATTGTGGATAAGAGGAAATTTCAAAACAAATCCAAGCTTACATTTTTTTTCCTTGCAGTGATTTAGTAGGACACTGAAAGGTTATTCTTATTTAACAGACAGTAACAACTTATGCCAAACTCCAGTAAGACTTTGAAGATGTAATTTCTGAAAACAAGACACAACTGAACTATGGCAAACTCACTGATTCTTAAACAGTCATGAACCTCTTCATCTTAAGACATATTTCAATGGCTTATTTTGTATAATTGAATTTAAATATTTTATATGGTTTTACATTAACTTAACATTACTCATAATTGTCTTTTAGTAACCTTTAGTCTAGTGGACAGCAGAAATCAGAGATGTTTGGTTCTGACAGTCACATTCTGAGCAACCTTTTTGTGGTTGTTTATGACATTAAACAACTGCCAGAAATTCTCACCACCTGTACAAAAGGGAAAAGCATGTGCCTGCACTTCATCCATTCCTGTTCCCAGTTCTATGTTAGTATAAGCACACTTTCACTGGCAGGAGGGGCTAGGAATGGGAGCATGAACTTCCAGCACAGCTGTGGGCAGAAAACTGCAACAAGGGAATAGTTGTCAGTGTCCTAGAAGTCTGCTGGTATGTAGGTGGCCATCTTTCATCTGCCTAGGGCAGCAAAAAAATTTTGCCAGGGCTCTCGTAGCACAGCACCTTCTCAAACAAGTTCACCGATTTTAATGTGATCGTGAAATATGAATATGAAATAAGGGAGGAGCAAGGGAAACAGCACCCTTGCATGGATATGTAATCACCTGAGGCTTTCAGCGTTGCTTAGAGGAATTACATGCGGTATTTGAACACAGGGTCTCCAAAACCTTGTTCACTCTGCAGATGTTAAATGTTCAGTGCTTCTTGAATTTTACTTCTAAACTGTTTTATCATCAAAAACTGGTACACGGAGCATTTGTTTGTGCCTTAAAATCAGCCACAAACAAGTAGCCTCAGAGAAACTGGGGAAAAGAAAGGAGGAAGCACTTCCCTGCCCACCCTAACTCCGCCGCCCCCCTTCAGGTCATCTTCCTGAATGGTTTTCAATAGGTATATAGAAATGAAAGAGAAGAAATGATACGACTAAGGCTAGTTTGGGTGTAGTATTTCAGACACAGGGGTGGGGAGGACATTATTAACCAAAAAAACCAAAGCAAAACCCCAAACCTAGATACTTAAAATATATTTGTCCACTCACCTGATTAACATGTGGAGTAATCACACAGTCTTCCTTTAGTTGCTCAAGATGACTGCTAAGAAAGTTACTGACACCAATTGATCTACACAAACCTAATGAGAAACAGAACAAGAAAAAGTTTTGGGACAATCCTAACTATTTGGGAGGATGATTTGAAAAATACCACTTTCAAGAGATAAAATTATTGTACCCATCATTTCTGTACAGCAAAATACTGCAAAGAAACACAAAAACCCAGCACCGAAATCTAGTTTGACAGCATTATCTAAAAACATGGTTCCGTCCCAGTCACACTAGGAAATCATTTTATAATCTAAACACACTGGAAACTCCCCAGTGTATAAAAACTCCAGGCTAAATTCTGGGAAAGGCTAACGTAGTATAAGCAAAGAACAATTGGACTCCACCAGCATGAAAAGAAGGAAATGGTGTTCTGAGCAGCTTGCCAAAACTAAAGTGGAACATTTGCTGAAGACTAATAAGGTGCAAGCAACGCGACACAAGGACGTGCAGCCCAAATGAACTATGTAGCACTGCTTATATTTCTATTAGATCATTATGTTACGTAAAACTCAGTATAAAAACTTCAAATAAGTGAGCAGCATCTAACAAGAAACAAGAAACTTAAAAATGTAGCTAGATTTCTCAGCTCCTCTTGACATGCAAGTAAAGTTAAATGGCATATAGCTGATATGAAGGGTATTTTTTTAAATAAGCCTTAAGTGTGCATGCATGTGTATAAAGTGCTAACAGCCCTGAAATCAGATGTCTTCCTTCAAACCTCAGATATGATAAAGCACAACTCCCAATATCGGCCTGCCACCACACCTCAACCCTGACTCATCTTTGGTAGTTTGGTCCTTATTCTGTGCTAAACACAGCTAATAGGGAAACCAACTGTGGTCAGGCTAGTAGGGGTCTCCTTCAGCTGTGGAATCTGTGGACTATGAATCAGACTTTTTTCTTCATTATGTGAATTTTGTCTTGATTGACTTGATCTGCATTTCAATTGGTAACTGCAGACAGAAAGTCTGTCTCAAGGTGCGCGAACACAGGAGTCTAATCACTGTTGTTAAACCAGTATTTATACTGACCAATTCTACACAATGTATATGCATGTGCTCGTCTATGTACATGCATACAAATATTTACAGCAAAAAAGAAAGGAAGTAAGCCAAAAGTTATATTGTTAGAGTAGTCGTTGGGCAATTTTAGCCGGTTGATGTCAAAGAAATGATTTCTGGACTGAAATTGCCCTCATTCCACAGTTAGAATTGCCACTTTCTTGAGGTCAGTAGGGAACTATGTGGAGCTGCCTTGATTTGAAGCTGGAATACAGACACATAAAAAGCACTTATTAATGCAGCTGAGAGACATGAATACATTAAAACGAAGAATTTCACTCAAAGCGAGAGCTAACAAAAACATTGGAGAAAAATGTACTAACCAAGTGCTTATTCTTAACATGTATATGTTTTATGGATAAAAAAAATAACTCACAACTAGACTATAAATTGGCATATAAAAATATGAGCTATAAGATGACAAAGTATCTTGAATTTGCAGGTTAGATTTACCTGGACAAAACAAAGAAGTTAAATTTTTATAGTCTTCTATGAAATCCTGTAAGTGAAGTTAGAGTTTATTGCTAATTATTATAAACAGATTGTTAAAGCCCTGGGGAAAAAAAAATAATCAGTTTTGCATTAGAAATGTCACTAACCATATAAACATAGGTAATTTGACTGCTATGTTGCTTTCACATATTTTAGCAGCACAAGCAGATAAGCTGCACAGCAGCAAAACCTGCACACATACTATCACTTTTTAACGTGGTTTCTTTTGTAGAATACAAAAGAGAGAAAAACATACATCAGCAAGTAAAATGCTAGATAGCTTTCGCTTACAGAAATTATCATTGTTCAAGATTTATAACGTAATTAGGTTATAATCTGCACTACAGCAATTTGCATAATTTGTATGTAATCTGCCAGAAGGAGCAAAATCTGAGCTTTTGACTTCTACTGACAAACAACCCTGGAGTGTCAACACTAATAAATCATTATGCCAAAGAAGTCAGAAAAACACTTGCAGTTTTAACACAATGGTGAACCAAAATATTATACTCTATTGTTGAAAGCTAAGGAGTTACAAAAAACATGCTGTTATTGCCCTCAAAGAATAAAGCTTTTATTTCAGCCTGAAATAAAACCAAACTCAATCACAGACATGAAATATGAAAGGGCTTATTAAACTTGTCCATTTCCACAGAAAGCTTCCTTTTTTTCCGCAAACAGTATACTCTAAGATGTTTTGCTTCTAGCATATTCCTCATATGAGACTTTGAAGTCTGTTCCATAGTCTCATTGCATTCACTGATAAGAAGTTTTTTGTTAGATTTCCTATCAAGAAATTTCAAGTCAGTTATGTTTTCTCTAAAGTCATCTGAGTCGCTCCTACTAAAATCAGTATTATGGCACTCCTGTGTTTAGAGTGATGTCACACAGAGAAAGCTCAATTCAAAATTCAACATTTTCCCAGACAACAGAGGAACAATAATTAAATTTCAGTATTTTTAGGGAACTAGTATTTTCTTAAAACTTTTTTTTTAAGGGAGTACAATTAAAACATTTCTTTTTCATTAATCCACATATTTAGTTTTGGTAAAGTTAGAACCCTTTGTTTCAACTCCATTGCTTTGTTTCTAGTTACACTCTAATATATGAAAGTTGAAGTGTTTTGACATTTGTATTAAATTACAATATAAAACACAATAAATACGAAAACAATTGCACAGCCCGACTGTATTAAAAAAAATAATCTTATTTCAATGCATAGTGGAAACATGAATTCAAAACACTGGAATTTCCTGAAAAACAGTGTTTAAATTTCAACGAACAATCAATAGATTCTACTCTAGAGAACTGCTTGATGGAAGATTAACACAGTGGCTCTGCATTGTCCAAATTTGGAAAAGACTGCCTTAAAGCAGGAGATCATACAGAATTATTTCCACATTTACATCTGCTGGAGTAAATCCTAAAAATGAAGAACTAGAAAGTGATGGACAAGAAAATGAAGGTCTGGTTAGCTCCTGGGCCTTATCCAATAGGCCCACATTTGTGACTACGTATATCAAACAAGATCCATGAAGCATCAGCAGTAGAAATAAAAAAAATTACATATGGAGAAACTTGCGTAAAAGGCTCCTGACTCATTGCCCTGAAATAACTGGGGCGAGGGGCAGGCACATTTCCTCATATTTCCTCTCTCACAGAGCTCCAACAGAGGTAGGTTCCCCAGAATTTGTGCCATGGGTCTCAAAACCACCAGAATGCTCTTGAAAAGGTGAGGGAGGGGAGGAGTGCATTTATTTTCATTTTAATACTTGTTTAGTGTGCTTACAAATCCCATTTCAGACAATTCAGGCACAATTCATGTCTTAGCTGTTGTGACAGCAGGTGGTTTTAAAGTCTATGCTTCTTTTTAACTTAACCAGTTTAATTAGTCCTGAAGTTCAGGTCTTCTGAGATAAAAGTTTGCAATGTGCTAGCTGCAATGCCTCTAGAAAGTACACTTAAAATACACATTTATATCGCCTTATTTACAAAGTCACAGAGCTTTGATTCAGAGAGAGAAAGCATCCTCCTTATCTGCTTGGGGAAATGAGTGGTTTGGCCCCTATGAAGCAGATTTTGAGAAAGTGCCAGGTGCAACAAACAGAGTCTGCAATTCCCCATTAGCTCCCAAAGCTTACTGAGGCTTTACCCTACTCCTTGCAACTCTGACTTCACAGGCTTGAAGGAAAACTTGGCAATGATGCTTCTTTTGTGCATGCTAAAAATTGACTGACCACAATGGTGGAACAGAAATTTTCATCCAGCTTTGAAAAACTATCATGAAACTCTGCAAGACATATTAGAAAACATATTGGCAAAATAATGGTTGATTATAATGGGAAAAAAAATTAGTCTCTTCTCTATTCTACACAAAAAAAATATCTTGGCCTCCATCACGTCGGCAGTTTCACCACACTGTATTACTCCCAGCTGCTGTAAAGCAATACATCATGCTAATAGACTGGTTTGCAATGTAGTTGTGTATTGAGCTCAAAGCATTTTTTTATGGCAACCTAAAGAATGATTCAGTATTTTTTCCTTTACTTAGTATAATACCAAATTATACAAAGTTTGATGGGCACTATTAATCTTGCAACAAAAAAAGCATAAATATACTATCTTGGCACTGTAACATTGTTTTAGTACAATAGCAAGCCTTATCTTTCTCTAGCACTACTATGGACTTTTATCAAACTTCTAAATATCCTTTGGAATATTAAATGTACAAAGTTCAGATCAAAAAGGTTTTTTAAATGACAAAACTGGATACTGCGTTTGTGGAGCCCATTTTCCTCCCCCTCCCTGCTGCTCTACATGAGTCAGAGCAAGGGAGAATTCCCACGTCCAGTGAACAGTGCCCATTCTGTTATATCTTCTATTCAGGCCACAGAATAAAAACACAAATGGATCCACTTTTCACAAGAGGTCAACTGCAGTAACTGTAACTTTATTAAAGGAGGTTACACAGGTTGGAAAGGTCCACATTCTCTCTGATACGCACGCTAAGAACTTCTCTGTGGGTAAATGGTTTTACTCACAGAAACCATACAAGATTTGATTTGAGCACAGCTTGCTAAATCAAAGCTGTAGGCTGAGTGTGCCCCACATGCAGATTGCAAGCCAAAGCCTTGATCAATAAAGCAGATGACTCTTGGACAAAATCAATATGGAATTAAGTTCTAAATCTGTGAAATAACACTTGTTCCCATTTCACAGACTAAAAACCATAGACACCAAAAGGCTAATCATCCTAAGACACACAGGAAGAATGTGGCAAAATTGAAAACACAGAAATCATGCTTCCTCCACCAAAGGGCTTCTTTATTATCCTATTCATTACCACATTATAGGTGCTTATCTGCCTTAAAATGACTTTCCTGCTACTACAATTCCATGACTGTTACTCCTGCTACAGATCACCTCTGAACTATGATAAACTGTGAGGACAACAGGAGAGGAGGCATGAGTAGAAG